GGAGACTAGCACCAAGGCCACTCACACTGTACACTCATGGTCCACTCTCTTACGGCAGAGCCAAAAGGAAAATGTGCTGCTGTTTCTACTTTCACATGCAAAGCAATACAGAGCCAGAGCTAGGCAGGGAGCCTACATTCTCAGAACACTCAGATCCCCTGTTGTGTGCCACAGGCAGTTCCAACCACAATTTTAAGCAATGGCCTCTGGGAGAAAAGCAGAGAAGAATCAGATAGATGTAAGTGCAGCTGTTAGCTCAATGCTTGCAAACACTGCCTTCCCACTCCTAACTGTGGAGCAATTCTGCCTACTATAAAAATCTGTTTCATACCTTTTTTTTTTTTTGCAACTTCTTGTGACTTCCAAATAAGAGATTTAAAAAAAGGTTTTCCTAATACTAAAATTCAAACTTGCTATAACTTAGTTGGCCCTTCACTGTAGAGGACAAATCGCCCTCTTCCATCAGATGGCACTACCATTATCTAGGAATCTCCATCAATTGTCTCCATCCCTTAAAAACAGACAAAAAAACAAGACTATCAACCAGGAAGTTCCCATCCAATCAGAAAATAGTTACAGAGCACTATTGACAGGTGCTGTTCTGGAATCTGGGGAACAACAGCAAACTATGTTCTCAGCCAACACTAAGCCATCTTGTATAATCATGTGACCTAACGAACTTTCCTGGTGGCCATACATACTACCAATTTTACCACACTACATTCTGGGAATGACAGTCCTGAGTTCATTGTCTCATCTGCTGCTCAGACTGTTTACATAAGTAAGTGGGTTCCTGGATTCAGGTTTTCTTATTGTCATCTCTACTGTTAGAAACTGTCCTTTGTAGCAACATGTCAAGAACCTCTGGAATGTCTATTTCTTTTTTATGTGAACACATTCCCTTATTTGTTCTATCAGAACAAATTTTCTTATCAGAAAATCTGATAAGCTTATTTAGTCATAATTATCATGACTTCTGTAATGGTACGGTGATACATTTTTCTGAAAATAGCTCTTGACCTCAGAGACTAAACTTTTGGCAGGGCTCACAGAAAATTAACAAGATGTCTTGAGATCATTTAAGACTATATACTCAGCCTGCTCTCCTACTGTGTGTTTAGCCTGTTTAAATTTAACATGCCTTTATAAAAAAACAGAGCCAACTTACCCATGCAGTCAGCTTTTACAGACTAAGCTGCATGCATAGCTTTCATCTTAAGCTACATACTCTTCCAGGCCCCTGCCCCTCTAGGTATGTGTGTACATTTACGCTGTGGTAATCATTTTCTGAAATGAGCTAACAGGTGGGAAACAACCCTGAGATAAATGTCCACGGTACGTGTTGAGAACAGCATGTGGACATAGGTTACTGTCTGTGGTGTTGAGTGCTATTCAGAGTCAGTTGGGGTCAGTAAAGTGGCTTCTTCCCTTGTAAACTCTGTTACAGATAACTGTAGAGAATCCCTCAACCCTTCCCCAGCCATGTTTGCTGTGCTGTCTGAGCCCTTTGTTACAGAGAAGCAGATTCAGAGGCACAACACAAAGAAACAGAGACAGACACGTCATATATACAAAACTACATATACAGACTACATATAGACCAGTAACCATGAACTACAGATAGCTGCTAGACACAGGGAGCTAGGTAGAGAATTCAAATTTTGGCTTGCTCTGGGTCAAATTAATGCAAAGGAAAGTGCTCTGTTTTCATTGCTTAATGGTGCATCCACACATTCTGGTACCTCTCACATCGTCTTCAATGTGCTAACAGTGCATGATGGTAAGCATGGTAGTTCCTGGAGGAAAGGAGAAGACAGACCCTCTTGGAGTATGGGTAGAACCTATAGGTTCTAAGCCATGGAGATAAAAGGTAAGAAGGAAGAAGCCTGCTATCTGACACAGGCATTTTTCTCCCCTCTTCCTTCCTTCCTTCCTTCCTTCCTTCCTTCCTTCCTTCCTTCCTTC